TGAATTTGTCGGTGGTCTAGATGAATCTATAGAGATTTAAGAAGTAATGTGTTGGATCAGATTTTGACGACCGTCCATTGCTCTGTGGTGGTGGCCCGACTGAGATCGATGCGGGCGGAGATCCGCTGGAGTCATCAGCGTTTGGAAATACAATGCGGTTGTCTACGTAGACATAGCTCAGACAGAATTATAGTGAACTCTGAAAGCACAAAGATAGGTAACAGGCCTACCGGCGTTTTGTTTCTTTGGCCGGTGCTGTGCAACCTGACAAGTGCCTGTAGCTGTAGCGTATCAATGTCGACGTCGTTTTGATATCCTTGTTTAAGGATACCACAAGTGCTAGAGCGCTTTACACAATCCCCAATGTGAGTGAAAACTTCTGTTAATGCTGTTACTTTTTGTATAACACCGGATACTACACAAACCAAGTCACGTGTGGCGTAGAAACGCCTCAGTTATCTAAAGAAGTCAGTATATCAATTGAGGAACAGGACCAGTTCCAATGTGATGCCCGATTCGTATCGTCTACATACTTAGGCCAGTGATTGTAAGCTGCAGTTACTGAAATCGTAAATTCGCCTCCTAAAATGATCGAAGGCACGCCAGGATTCAATTGTTTCATAGGATTACACAAGAATGTTCAAGCTAGGTCATGTCATCAAAGCGCAGGACAAAATCGTCCACATTTTCCCCTCAGCCTGAAAGACAAGTGATATTTCATTCTCAAAGCCAGAACTTTAAAACATTTATGAGAGTCCTGCTCAACTACTCAGCTTATTGACCAACTAACGATGGATGTCAAATTCATAGCAAAGTGAATGACAGCTGAAGGCTATACGCCAGTGCTCATATCAGAATAAACGCGGTGAGTTGTAAAATTTTTGTCTAGATTTGAAACTGAAAGTAATTACATGCAGAATATCGTCCCAGTAACTGATATAACGCGTGACATGACAGTACGCCTAGGAAGATCGCCTGATCTCGAACGACTGTTCTGTTTGGTGTCAACATGCAAATATTCAGATAGCAGAGAAAGCACTGAGGTGAAATGCCATGTGCAATTTTATCCGGTGTAAAATCTAAACACAAAACTTTACAACATCGGCAATAACATCTGTCCTTTCATTGTGAACACGACCGGGTCTAGGAGGTCGGAATAGATTGCCATACTCCGGCGGTATTTCCGAGAGGACCATGCGCATGTTTTGCGGTTTGGATATGGTCTCTGCATGAAGTAGAGGAAGCCCTGACAAAGTAAAAGCGAGAATACCTAGAACAATGCTTGTATGAGTCATCTCAGCTACTTTGTGCTTTGCTGTAGTTGGACTCACAAGTCAGCAGTAACTCTATCTCAATTCAGAGAAACGAACGAACGATCTGAACTGAGTCATTTTGACATCAGAACACCTAACTTGGCGCTTCAGAATCCACAACTGCCGAAAATGTCAGCGGCGGCAAGGACAGCACCAGTTCACTTTGGAACACCGTTTTCATAGGGAGGACGTGTTTCATTCTGGAGAACGAAACAATCACGTGACGGCGATACTCGACTGAAAGTAGAGCCAGGTAAGCAAAAAGTGGTGTTAAAGAGAACGATCAACAATACAGTGGACCTCGAGCGAACGAAAAGTTGACGACCTCATGTTGATAGGCATACAACAGGGCTCTGTGCAATCTTATGCAAGTGATTAGTCCGCAAACCCATGCTGTAAGGCTGAGGATGTATGGAGTTGGTGACGCATTAGTTGATTATCTGAGGCCAAAGATAAATGTGTCATGATTTGAGAACCCAGGTAATAGATACTCTTGGTACTCCCAGGTGATCTTCAGTGGTGCACTGCGGTGTCTCCCAGACCTGCGTGCAATTCGCGAGCCCAGTTATTTCGGCATGCGTTCGCCGGATCACGCTTCCCGTTGATGAGATACAAACCAAGGTCCCATGTATTTCAATTTCCACGACGCTGTTGTACCAAATACAGGCAATGAATATTTGCACTTCAAAGATGACGCGAAACACTTTTTTGAGATGCAAAAGGCCCGTGTTGTACACAACCCCGAGCTAACTGAAGGTGAGTTGACTGGAAGGTAAAAATTACGTGATGTTCAGCGCGGGATATTCGGAACTGGTAGCAACCAGTACTGAATTGAGAAGTGACAGGATCGACCGTTTGTGACGAAAAAAACCGTCCTTAAAATCGTCAAGACTCCTTGCCGCTACAAGATGAAATTCACGTTAAACGAGATGGCATGCATAAGTTATCAAAATTGAATCCTTCAAATGATACTCGACGATGGGGCCTGAGGTTTCTTTAGAATGAAAATCCATCGTGATGCAAGCGATTCCATTTAGAAAAGAACACCGCACTTGGTTTGTTTCGACAAACGATGTATATAAACATGGTTGATATGCATGTTTGGATGACGTGATCCGCACTTCAGCTGTCCAAAACAGGAAAAGTTGTCATCCCTGTAAACTAGCTGATCGCAAAAGCGAGTAACGTTTGACGTTGAAAAAAACACGTGAATTGTTTATGCTTCTGATGAAAGATTCAGGCTTTATCGCTGACTAGTAAAGGCGAAGAACTCACAGTGAGAAACGTTCCATTGTAAAGAATACATGAGCGCACGATACGTCAGCTGTGTGACCAATATACGCAGGTGCAATGGCTCTTGATATGTATAGACTGTGCGTGGATGGACTATAATTTAGTGGAAAATAGCGTGCAACTGCATAAAGAAACCCCAATGCCCGAATTAAGGTTGGCAAATTACACTCCGACAACAACGCGATCCGAACACGCTGTATCATATTGCCACACATACGCTGAGGTAACTTATTCGCAAATGAGATGCATTGGCCTTAAACGTCGGTCCGAAAATGCTATCAAACATTGTAGAGCCGAAAGTGCATAACTGATCGAGGACCCTTAATGACTAGCATCGAATCGAAGAAAGGAATTAGTGTTCACACCACAAAATGTTTCGAACGGTGGGTTCGCTGTTATTTTGGCTCTACATCAGTGTGGCCTATGTGCCGCTGTAGAACCCTAGTGTAAGGAGCACTTTCTCGGCTCACTTCGAAGACTCCAAGTATGGAAGTGAATCAAACTCCATGAGATTCAACCCATCATCATCATACACGTTAGCTAGAGGTGGGAAACACCTCAGCTACTGTGCCACAATACATAAAGGAAAATAAATACAATAGTCGCATGCCAGCTGAGCTGTCAGCAACGGATAGTTGTCGTTCCGGTAAGCTACCAGCCGGCTACTAGGCAAAAAGAAAAATTATTATGTAAAATTATATTAGGATTCAGATTAGGTATAATAAAAAATTTAATGAGCGAACAAGAGAGGACCGGCTCATAGGCAATATGACTAGTTAGGAATAACTGATGGCAGATTATTCTGCGGAATCTCTTCACCACCACATTCTGAAGTAGCTGCACTTACGTCATGAAGGAGAGTCTCGCATGGGAGCGCAAACCTAGCTACACACTGACTTTTCGAGGGCCTCGCTACTTATAGCGAATGAGCTTCGATAACCAAACGATGAGCGAAAATTGTTCAACCATAGGAGAGGTTTAGTGTGGATTTCACTGACCCGGTACAAGGTCCATCTCATCTCATAATCACGACAGTAACGTTACGAAGGCTACAACGACCTTTCGTTCAATTAAGTTGGTCCAACATTGTAGTCGCGGACGACAATACAGTCTTCTCGCGGTGAATGAAACTTGCTAGCAATTATTGAGAATATCGATAGGGATGTAAATGAAAATTTCGGGTTATCTGCAATACGTTTCATGTTCAGGCTAGGCACCGATGCTGTTGGTTAACGCAGAGGACAATACAGCTCCTTGATATTTTCTGTCCCACTCTGGGTAATCTCAATCCAGATTACTGGCTATGAAGATTTTAAACATTTTCCTTATATAGGCCAAGAATGAGCGGAAGAGGTCAAACAGCCATTCTCGCTAAACTGCCGAGCCAAGGTGAACAGGGAAACAAGCTAGGTGCGGGATCTATGTTTGACGGGTAATGTGGCCACCGATGGTGGGTGTGCAGTGGCCACTTGAATTGCAAAGGGCAACAAAAAGGAAGAATGTACAGGGGTAACGTGACGGTTCGTCTGACTAAAATAGTTTGACGGACGAACTAACTATGCAGGTAATACTTCTTAAAGCAGTAAATTCGAGGTCTTCCGATCGCACTGCAGACCACGGGGTGCAGTGAAATGATGGGATCTCTTCAATTTATGAAATGGTCAGTGGATACCTCTCTCCAGTGACCATAAGTGAAGTATGCTCACCAGAAGTTATGACGTATGTGATGAAGCTTTTTGAGGAGATGAGTGGTAGTCTCAGAAATTGAGCACCTAACTGACGCTAACGTAAACACCGCTTCAACACACAAATTGGGATCAGTAGAATTAATCCGCGTGAAGCAAGCTGTCACCCGTAGACTTGCTGCTCAATTACTGCAACGTTCGTTGACCTCCTGGCTCCCAAGGCTCTAGGTCCCATCGTCGCAAAGATACAATATAAATCGAAGCGAGCTCTCGCGTAGCTTGAAGTACCTGAGCGCCAAGTAGACTGTGCTACTTTGAGACGTTACAGCTCGCCCACATCAAAAGGTTAAAACAGTGGAATGATTTGGTCCCTGAAGCGTCTGCTTGTGCGTATCGAGCAAACCGATCCTCTGATACACTTGGGCCGTCCTTTCTAAATTCTTAGCCCAAAAACGTGAATCACGATCATATTATGTTACACTAATAAGGACTGCGAACAGAATCCAGTGCTAGATATTAGACGAATCTGGTGAAATTAATACAGGTTACTCAGACCCCTTGTTCGACACTAGTATACCAATGGGTATAGAATGAAGTCGGTAAAATACGAAGAAACAGAAGCATACATCATATGCCAAACATAGGTGAGTCAATTACAATGTTGCATGGGTGTCAAAGTTACGTGCCAACATGTTGGTTTTAGTGACTGTCAGCCGTTCAGTGGTGTGAAAAGATCCTCCACTGTAAACGCGCAAAAAACACCTGATCCCGAGGCTTGGAAATTGAAGATCGGGAAGGTTATCACTGGACATTCGATCACAGCCGTCAGGATCACGCAGGGATGAGGCACTCGGCGGTCGGGACATTCGTAAAGTTGAAGGACATGCAGAAACGACGTAACGGATAAAAAATTTACAAAAGAGAATGTTGACAGGTATTTCAGGAAGCATTCTGCGGTGGCGCAAGCTGTAAGACGAAGAAGGAATCCGATTAAACTTTACACAATAAGAAAGAAAGCATGAACGATACAACAAAAGCGAGTCGACGGTAAGCAATATCCGAGTTAACTGAAGCCATAACACAGAGAGACCAGAGCATGAGGACGCTGAATAGGTTGCACCAGCGTACGTGCTGCACGTGGTTCTGTGAACCGCTCTGTCTAACAAAGGAGCCCGCGTATACGTACGCATAGAAAACAAACGATTGATCGAATGCGTCGAGAAGGACATGTTGCACACGAGTGCAGCTCATCCCAAAGGCCCCAATCGGTACAAGGCCAGATCGAAATTGCGGCTAGGTACAGCGCTGGTATGTGACGGGTAATCGGACACTAGGTAAAACATCCAGCGAACTTCTAAAACGAGTTGTGTAAACGTATGCGCATCACAAGCGAAAGGTTTTCGGTCTGATTCGCCAGTGTTTTATGTGATATGCTTCTTCGATAAGTTAGCTAACGAGACGAAGTGGCCCACTTTTATCCATTGAGGAGCGAACATTATGCGAAAAACTTCTCCGTCTTAAAGACGTCATGGCACATCGCGGAGAAGGAGCATAAAGCAGACAACAGCGAGCTCGCAACGTTCGTTACAGCACTTACTTGGAACACGATCTACAATACCTCAGAGCTCATCGTGCTCGTCTGAAGCATGACTGCGTGAGGCGGCGCTATCGGTTCGTTGTATGTACACACCCTCGGCCACCGTCCAGTAAGAGGCCGGGGATGATGTCGCGGATACGCATACTTCATACTGTCCGGAAATCGGCCTCTTGTACCGTTCGCCGGAGACTCGAAGGAAACTACGATAGGATAAAGACGTGAAAGAAACTTGAGAAATACAGGTAAATGGTACACTAAAGTCAAGGAACATGATGAACCGACGGATAGGAAGGTTCAACCGCGGTTTACTACTCGTAAAAGAGAAAAATCTCAGTGCGACCATGCAAAAGCCGGCAATAAATTGAGAGCATTCAAGCACTTGAGGAAATGGAATGAAGCGATACCGGTCATAGCTCCTTAAGAATGGTAGTTTGAAAGACCACATTGTGGAAACAGGTTATTCGATCTTGGTCACAAAGAGGAAGAGAGCGAAAGAACGTACCCCTCGGTAGACATATGTTTGAGACGCACTGCCGTGGAACGCAACCAGTGCGTGGAGTCGCATAGCACCTGCCAGTCGTCACCTGCGAAAGAATAGATGAAGGAATAAGGCAGACAAATTAGTGTGATTCGGAGGCATACATGTCGTGAGCACGGGCGTTCAGGTTCAGCCAATTTCGGTTAAATAACTATGACTTCAAGTGCGATGAATCCACTTGTCACGAATGACGTCACCGACATTAAAGCAGTGAGAAAAAGGAGGTAGAACGAAGAAAGGACACAAAGAAAGGGAATTTAGTAGTGGGTGGACACAAGAAACCGAATGCAGGAGCGTCACTGACAGTGCGGCTGCGCCATATCAGATGAAGCCCTCAACCAATGATGTGGACCATCCCGAGGCCCTCAGTTAACAAGCGTGATCAAGTCCCTCAGTCAAGTTCTGCATACCTTTATGCCACATCGTCAATTGGAAACGTCGCAGTTTCGCCAAAAAAGATGCAGCGACGGCGCATTAGTCACGCCGAAGAAAGCGATCAAAGGGTATACAGAAGACATGATCTAGCCAACGTAAGCTGTTAATCTGTAACAAACACTTCAACAGAGCATCAGAGGGCTTCTTGTTAAAAACCAGCTGCAGAACCTGAGCACTGGTCATCTGGTGTTTTCACCAGATGTGAACAATATGCAACGAACACCGATGATCGAAGACAGAGAGTCGTTCAATGCTTTTAGTGTGAATAGACCAGGTCTCTGATACATAGACCAACCCTATCGCAGGGTAATACAACTTAGTTTTGACTAACAGAATGATATTTCACCGTCTCCATGGATGGCTGAACCGCTGAAAAGTCCCATGGTTTTGGTGCTACCCAAAATAACCTTGTCAGTGGAGTGGCCACCAGAAGTGACACAACTATCACGGAAAGTGAGGGGAGCGACCACTTCTGGTAGCTGTTCGGTGACAGCTTGAAGCAGTGGCGTAGCAAACCAGTTCAGCAATAATGCTTCGCACTTTAAAGATGCAAGCAGAGCTATGTTGTGCATATGCTCCAGGTGTGGTAGTTGGTCGCCTGACAGAATCTCCACTTTAGCAGAGGCAGAGAGAACAGAGCCGTGGGGAACTCAGACAACAGCTCACCGTAAACCCTCACCCGGCCTCGGAAGTCTCGTTCGCGAGACGCCCAACTGGGTTGAAGGTGGCATTCAGGTCAAAGAAAGTCGGCATAGTCGGTTATCTGTGCCTCTGCTCCAGCACTTGTCGAAGATAGAAGATATGTTGGATGTAACCATGACGACGGGGGAAGCCAGCCTAGCTTTCAATGATTCGGCTAATATGAGAATCAGTAATTCGTCGAATGATACACCTAGGATGTTTGGGAGTAACGGAAAATGGTCGATACCCCGATGATTTTCGCGCAGAGGCCTTTGATACTTTTGAAAATGGGCCCGATGGTCAAGAGTCAATAACATGCTGGCAAGTCTTCAGTGCCCCAAACAATGTTGAACAGGGTCAGGAAATCTTGTCACAATCCAACCAGACAGCGAGTACTCTAAACTCAACTTTGAATCCATAGCCGCTGTGTCAAGAGTTGCTCAGGGATATCAGTGGCGTCAAGCCGTTAACCATTAGGCCCCGAGTTCCACTTCCAGCTCAGGCTATATATACTTGATAAGTCCAAAGGAGAAGGGAATTGGTCGTGGGGTGTCAGTGTTGGAAGGAACTACACCGAAACACCAGCAAAGGGGAACCTCCATCTTTCAACAAAGATGGAGGAAGGTCGTCAGGTACAGAAACCATGTTTCGTTCCAAACAGCGAATTCATGTGGGATCGCTTCTAAAGTGGGAGGAGAGCTTTACACTTGAGCTCAAATGATCCAGAAAATGATAGTACACCTGCCGAACTACTCTTCAAAATGCACTCAACAGGCCATTCAAGGTGAATGAGAATGAATCGACCCTTTAGCGTTCAGTCCTTGTGTCACTAACAGAGTTTGCTTGTACCTGTCTAAGAGGAGGCGGATCAGTACTCGGCTGTTCTCAATGACAGTGGCCTTCTCCGTCTCACGGAGACCCTTGCAACCTACAAACGTTCCTGGTCTGTTGTTGTCCGAGGTGGTGTGGACATGATTCGATCAAGGTGATCGACGCAACAGTGATCCCTTTACAGTCTGGACGTCTCATTTTGGGCGTTCACAAGCTTCCAATGACATTCCTCATGATACAATTGAGAGGATTAAAGCTGGTACTCGGTTAACCAACCTCATTCCCCATCGGGCCAGTTAGTCGTGATATTGCTGCATTGTAGACTGCGTGTTTAAGTTACAAGTGAGAAGATTAGAAGTTGGACAATTCGCTGAAGCTGAAAGAATGAGTGTCACACACGCGCGCTAAAGCATGATCAGAACTCAGGCCTGCGCTCCAAACTGACCGACAGTCTTGCACTGATGTGCACCATCTGTACCTGAAGGCAATATGGTCATTGAGGAATTCGGTGGGCGCAAGTAAACGTGATGTGAACGTTTGCGCTGGAAAACAGTGCTGCTAAGGTAAAGGTTGAGGTGGGCGCTCACTCGCAAAAATCGATCTCAATTGTCTGTTCGGCGTGTATTGACCCCGAAGCGGTCTCCTAGAGGTTCAGAACGAGAAAGGTGACCCACTTGGGTATAGATGTCACCAGCAACATAAGGTATCGGTGTCAGTGGCGATACGGACAACGGATTAAGGCTAACGATAAATTTGTCATAGTATACCCGTGCTGCAGTCGTTTAGAGAATAAACTGAGACGATGAACAGGCGTTTTGTCTTCAGACGGTGCTTTTCCATCCAAATGGAGGTTCGAAGTCGAATTGCACACATGCGGTTGTTTACTGGCCCCCAGCTGAGTGGACTGCCCTCAGCAGGCATGTTTAGTGTAAGGTTGACATCCTAAATAACTTGAGCCATTGACTCGATATGGACAGAGACGCGCAGAGGATAGTTATTATCCACAGGTTCGGAATCAGGCGGTCAAAGATTCATTACGACGCTGTCAACTTGAATGTGTGCCCCTGTTACACACGACACATGAGCTCCATGAGAGTGAAGAGTGACAGTTAGCACTGCTTGTTGACCGATTTGACCCAGGGTGCGGATGTCGAAAAAATCAGTGTGAAACGAGACCTCCTAATTTAAAGGACAAGTTACACGCACGGATAACAGCAGTTACGAAGCCAGTGGCGGTTTCATTGCTTACTAGACGAAGAAGAGGGTAGTAGCACGGGGGGAATAAAGGCAACACGAAGCAATAATATTAGCGACAGGGTGGAGAACTCACCAGCATCTAAAGCACGATTCTGGACGCTTTGATACCAAATGCGACGATACTATGGGTGCTGACCCATGTGGAACTCTGATGGAAAGGAAACCGCCTCAGCTGCAGACGCTCAAACAAATAGGTCATTGTTTTATCTGGTAACCAAAACACAATAAGAAAGATGCTCACAAAATACAACTGCCTATGTATATTGTAGGGTCTTGGAGTATTTACTGCATACATCTGGACTGCGACATGCAAGCCCAATGCAGGTCATGCTTTACTTCGAGGTCAACTTTGGCTCTTTCGGTTTAGGAACGATCGAAATCGGAACTCTCCTATTTCTCTGTTCACTACAGTCCAAGAACGCAGACAGTACTTGAATGAGGAAAAAGTACAAGCAGACGCTTGCCGGGATCATACGCTACATTATCCAAATGGAAAGATGTATGCTATCAGGTGCGTCCCCAGGTTTCGGATCGGAAAATGCCTCCCTTGTGGAGGTAACTGCGAATAAGTCTCGGCTGCCTTACCGACGAGATGAATAAGCAGTCGCGACAATCAGCGGCAGTGTCTCATCATTGTACACGTTAGCTGCAGATGGAAAACACCTCAGCTATGGTGCCGCAATAAACTAGAAGAAAAAAGCACGCCGGCTGGATGGACATCATTCCGCAGAGCTAACAGCCGATTGTACCGCGAAAAAGGTGTTGTATTATGCCTAATAAATGAAATAGTGGTTGTAGGGGGGCCAAGCGGGAGGAGGAGGGCCAAGGAAACTCACAACATAAACGCCGTTGAGGTCGGTACCTGGCCATAACAACAAGTGTATTCAGCCAAACGTGTTCATCGTCTTTCCATCTTCAACCAGGGAGCCGAGAGGCTTCAATCAGGTCAACTTCGAAGTAAGGGCCTTCATTCCTCTTGACGCGGCAGCGTCTCAGAGCGTGGAGAGTTCAGGACTGGTCACCTGGTTCCCCATCAAATACCACAAGAGCTCGTACGGCGCTGTCAAAGCCAATTTGATCGTCTATAGGGTCACTGTTGTAACGCTGACTTCACCCCTACTCTCTGCGCTGCAATCCAACAGGGAAAGAAAACAAAACACCGAAGCCTGCTAGATCGAAGTATATTAGGAACAGACCACGGTTAATTTTATGTCACCTGCTATCCTCTCCGACTGCACGTTCTGAGCTGACTCACGCCAGTGGTCTGGACAGATTCCATACCTGCTAGCGGTCCGCATTGGCCAGCTCTAGTCACGCTCACCCAAGCCTTTCATGCTGATGGTCTGATTTCATCAGCTTCTCGCGTGACAGCCGTGCTACCACCGGCAGCGTAGCAACCTGTGTCATGATGACAGACGTATCGAAACCATGTCAGATGCTTAGGCTGCGGCCTCCGATTAGTCACTACACACTCACTTCTTTAGTCAGAGCTGAGTACCCAACAAAGGGCGGAGGAACAACCTTGCTGGCCAACAGCTACTTTGTGCACTGCTACCGCACACAAAGAAGGCGAATGAGCCACCCGGTTGTCAACGACCTTCGTGGATCGCCCCGTTGCCTTGCGGGTCAGGTCTTTATGACCATAGGCTCAGGGTGGGGTCCTTTAAATCAACCCTCTCTCGGTCTGGGCAACAGGGAAGATTTCCGCCCACACAACGCATAAACTTTCAAAACCCTTCCATTGACTAACTGCTTTCCCTCTTTTTGTTGCTGTTAACTGTGTTGTGTCACTTCCAAGTGTAGATCGGTTAAGCGTTTAATAATAATAATAATAATAATGATAATAATAATAATAAAAAATGTACTGTGAGGTTTTAACAGGTCTGCTCCGATTGCATCGGCGCGTTTAAGCATATATTAAAAAGAATTGGCAGCCAAATTTGATGCCTAAATGTGGAGAAAGAATCTGGCCAAATATTCCGCGTCCAGTAGAAACACAATAAAGAACAAATAGTGACAAACCTTCGTCTCCTGATCCGTCTTCTCCAAAAGCAGATACCTCGTAGTTTGAAGACAGTGGAGATTGAAAATGATGGCTGTGCAAATTTTTTCGAGTATTCAAATGCATAAGTCGGATCTTTTGACCACACTTGACCACGCGGCCGCGAATGCACTGAGGAGCGCCATTACGTTCCATGATCTGATGGACGAGAGCAATAATGAACAACGAGTGCAAATGATCATAGGAAGTCGGTGCAGTAATCATGTTCGTTTCGGTGGGCATCATCGGACGAAGTACAACAGTTAGATAGACACCCGTGGGACGGGTTTGTCAACAGACGGCGAAGTGTAAATGAAAAGGAATGATGATAACATGCTTGCAAAATTGGTGTTGTACCTGTTGTAAAGCTACCTTCGTACTGCTGCTATTCTGCGCCTGCGAGACTACGACCGTCTAACTGTTTAGTCACGCGCCCAACCAGCCGACGGGATACAGAACGCCAAGGCTCGGTAAACATGGAGTCTATCATACATGATAGGTCAGTTCTATTTATTGGTGAACGAAACATACTAATTTTGGAAGCGTTTGGCTCTCAACCAATGTGAGTTAATTCCGTCCCACGGATTTTCCATATTTGGCAGAATGGTTCGCCTCCGTTGACTCGGGCTTGTATTTGCTGGCCAGTCAGTTGGCACCCGATTCCCAAATTTGACAAAACAGTCGAAAATCGTTCCACGCTCGTGCTAGTGACCTTCGCATGCAGCAGACAGCTCACGTGATCCACGGTAAGCCGGTGCGCGACCTCGTGTCTGGACATTGGCTCCGCTTACCTCTCTATTAGTTATGCAGCGTGAGCGATAGATAAAAGTTAATGGAATCACAAATATTTACATTGCGTTCCACATTCACAATATTCAGCGCTCAACTGTGATGTGAATGACTGTTAAGATTAAAGTGAATTTTTTTTACAGTAAATTGTTTGGCCCGTTACTAGATGGCACAAACGTTCCCACCAACAAATGGTTCAGGTTGACAGACACAAAGCAGAGAGTTCCTTGGACCTATGAGATTCCGCTTGAATATATTCTACAAAGATATCGTTATTAGGCCAGCCACAGGACGCCTGCGCCTACAGAGGAACCATGGATGGCTTGCGCTGCACCACCCACAGCTCCAGCCACACACCCCATATCCAGTGTAAACCCGAAAGAATAAGACCAGGAGGCATGCGGATGGGAGCCACGTTTAATCAACGGAGCCGGCCCACACTCCTTCACAGGCAAACACAAGCACACTGTATTCGGGGAATCAAGCGCACACAAGGCGGTGGCTGGACTGTAGTCCGCTCCACACTGAGTGCATGGAACCACTCTTCGAGCCTAGCACGGCCACAAGAACCATGCACCCCGTCCCCTCCAGCAACGACCAACTGTCTCCTGGAGCAGTATGGACGAGGTAGTGGGTAATAGACAGGTAGGCACCTTGTCAACATGCACATTAAGCGCAGCCGCACTGGGGATGTCAAACAAGAGCCAATCACTTGAAACAAGATGAAATAAGATAAATCGGATAATGCATACAGATACAGCGGCGTAACGCTTCACTAAATGGGTGTGTGGTTACGAATAAATCTGCAATAATTTCAAGACATCGGAAAATGTATTTTAAGAAAATGCCACAAACGCGAAAGTGTTATCGAAGTTAGCCAAAGAAGTTTAATGGACATGCGCAAGTTTAAAGAGAATGTTCAGGTAGATACGTATGTGAGATTAAAAAAAACATTAGGACAAGATAGCAAACCCACACATGAAACAGAGGCTCATAATGCAAACACGCGGTTAGTAGATCGAATGTAGCGTACCTACAAACGCTGCGCCGGTTCGGCCTACGTTCCCTGCATGCAGTCCACTGCATACATTCTACTTCGGCGCAACACTTCCATGTCCCCAACTCAGTTGCACCAACAGATGCGTAGAATCCGTCGCAAATAATGTTGTTGGAACCACTCGAGATAACGCACATTCAGCCGGTACATCGTCCACGTTTCACTGCCGTATAGAAGAACGGACAGCACCATGAATTTGTACACCATCAGCTTCGTGCTAATGGTAAGCTGATGGTTGTTCTACACTCGGTACTCAGGCTTCCGAATGCCACCGCTGTCTTCTATACGCAGCTCACTGTGTATCTCCTGTTCAGTCGACAACCCTCTCAAGGTAGCAGAAGCGAGAGATGATTTTCATTACGTCATCACCAATGCTGATTCGCGGCACCATTGTAGATTGCACCTCTGGTGAAGGCTGAAAGAGACAGACAGTTTTGCTTGTGTTGATGGTGAGCCGGAATTTGGCCGCTATCGAAACCAGAGCACTAGTCATATGCTGCAACTCATCCGCGCTGTGTGAAAATAACGCACAGTCGTCAGCAAACAGCAACATACGGATAGTTGTCTCACAGACTAGGGTTCTTGCACCGACACGACAGATGTTCAGCAACCCACCATCAATACGGTGCTCCACACGAACACCGTAAGCACAAGCGGCAGCAAAGCTCAGGGTAACATTGCATGAAGATATATATTAGACAGGGCAGGAGCTAAAAGATACAGCCTTGCTTCACACCAGAGATAACTGCAAAGTCATCCGAGGTCTCTCCACTCAGATGCACCTTCGCTCGCATACCACTGTGCAGACATTCGGTTAAACTTACAAACTTACGTAGACAATAAAACGTATCCAACACCAACCACAATGCCTTGCGAGTAAACGTATCAAATATCTTGATAAAATTAACAAACACCGAGTACAACGGCTGGTGTCGTTCTCTGCATTTCGCCTGCAACTGACGAGCCGCAAACACCATATCTATAGTGTAGCGACCCGAACGGAATTCACATTAGTCTTCAGCCCAGTTCGGTTCCACAACCTGACTGACGAGGCGGTTGAGCAGGATTCGGGCATTCACCTTGCCCACACAACTCAGCAAGTTGATGCCACGATAATTCGCGCAACATTGCTTGCTCCCTTTACCCTTGTACAGTGGTAGCACAAGGGCATCCTTCAGCTCAGGAGGCACCTCCTCCTCAATCCATATGCGTTGCACCAAATGGTGCAGCGCAGTCATCAACGCGCGTCAGCCAAGTTTCAATACTTCAGGCGGGATCCCGTCGGCCCCAGCACAGTTGCTGTTTCGCAGCTGAGCAAGTGCTCCCTGCGTCTCACCCAGTGTCGGCGTGCCGCCAGACTCGTCTTCACATTGTGCTGCTTCAGGCCATTCAATGTAGGACAGTCGATTTCTGAACGATTGTCTAAGAGACAGACAAAGTGATTTCGCCAGATCTGCATTATGTCTGCAGTGTGCGTGCTGGTAGCGCCAGAGGTAACATCGATTAGCGTTCTCAGCGGATCCAACCTCGGTCCATACACTGCCTTCAAGGAATCAAAGAATTCCTTGTGTTGGTGGCATTCGGCATACCATTCCATCTGCTTTGCCTTCTCTGTTCACCATGCGTTTTAATGCGACGGAGCTCTCGAGTCAGTAGTTGTTGGATTCTGTGAAACTGACAATTCTTCGCCAAGTCACATGGGTCTGCCACCTGTGTAACAAATGTTGCATTCTTCTCAGACATCAAGGCGCTAATCGTCGCATTGCTCTCAGCAAGCCCGTCGGGCCGCGTACAGTTTGTGTGCCCGATGGTCTCCTCAGCAGCAGCTGTCACTTGGCCGCGAATGTGGTGCCACAGGTTGACCACTGTGGTTATGCATTTCACAGCACACAGACGTACAAATATCGCCTTCGCCAGTTCAATACGTTTCTCCACAGTACTGAGAGGATGTTAAATTCACGCAGGTTCACGGCAGGAGTGCAATACATAGATTTACGAAAATATATGTACAGTTTGGTCCGAACCAATTTGTGATCAGTGCCACACTCAGCTCCACGCAGTACACGTGTCATGCGCACTTCACGGATATCACGCTGACGTACGATGACATAGTCGAGCAGGTGAGCGTGACCACTCCGTGGATGCGTCCAAGTTGCTATATCACTCGCATTCAGTGCAAACCGAGTGTTCGTGATCGTCAGGCCGTGAGTGGCACACACTGAGAGCAGCCTGTCACCGTTTGCATTCGCTGAGCCAATGCCATGCGGATCGATGGCATCTGTCCACACCAGTGCATCACGCCCAACGCGCACGTCGAAATCAATCAGCAAAAATAGTCGGTCGACCCTCAGCACGGACCGTATCATGTAGGATAACGGAGTGTAAAATTGATCACGCGGCTCATCAGGATAACACACGGTCGGACTGTAGGTGCTTATAAAAGTGGCAAACTTACCTCTTCCGAGTCGTAGGCGAACAGTCATCAGTCGCGCGCTGATGCCTGTTGGTTCACCCAGCAGCTGGCGATTAATGTAATCCGATATTGCAAATCCGACCCCATGTTCATGTGGTGCTGAGGTGGCGTTGCTCACCCAGTAGAACGTGTAGCCAGCACCTGCTTCATGCAACTTACCTTGCTCAGAGAGCCGAGCCTCACTGACAGCCGTAATATCGATGTTGCAGCGCCCCAGTTCCATCGCGACCAGTGCAGTGCGTCACTCGGAGCGCTCCCTCGAGTTCCGGTCGAGCAGTGCACGCACGTTTTAGTATGCGATGCTGAGTGCTTTGTTCGCAGGCATACGATTGCATTGGTGGGCAATCGCACGCGAGATGGCTGATGTGCTTCGGAGGTTTGCTTGACGGACTCCACCTGGAGCCTTTGGCTCAATAGCCTGAGCTACAAGGCGGTGGGGAGCAGCTCCAGCTCGGGAATGTGATTACACAGACAGATTGGGATCTGCTTGACGGCCGTCACACGCAGCCTTTGGAGATCTGGAGCAACCGTAGTAAGTTACGCACCTGCGACCACGGCCAGACGTATGTGGGTTTTGGCGGGTATGCATCAATTTGACCAGGGGCTGCCTGGCTTGAGGCGGGCAGTAGGAAACCATCGAGCACCCGGAGGTGCATCCCATCGTCAGAGACAATGCGCGGGCGCTCGTGGTCTATGCCAATCGAGCAGTGAGCTTATAACCCGTAGATCTGTTGTATCCCATGGCTAGATTTTTCGGAAAGAGGGCTATCGACCACGTCTTAACCTCCGAAGAGGATGGACTAGGATACTGGCAGGACGCCCACTCCTGCTAGGAGAAGG